AATAATTATAACCTCATTTAATCTTATGAAAAGAGAATAGAATAAGATTATGATATGTTCATTAAATTATTGTTTTTTGATTATATAGTTTCTGTATATAAAATGATTAATTTAGCTGGAGGAATTAATCCTTTATTTAGCTAACAATTTGAATTCTATCAGGGAAAACTAAATAAGATTCTAATAATTAATTATTAATTGGGTAATTATTCAGTTTTTAATTAATTCTCTATTCTTAATTTATTTGAAATAAAATTAAAAATTATATTATAATAAAACAAATTTTCAAACTTTATTTTATCTGAAAAAACTTAATAGTTTAGAGATTGTTTCAATAATATAGCATTCTTGGCAAAATAATTCAGAAACAATAACAAGTTTTCACTTTGATGTGCAGGATTTTGGCACTAAAAATATAAAAGCCATTAATAATTAAAATTGTCTGCATGTATTATTTTTAAATGTAATTTCTATCTTCGTTTGATTCTATATTAATAGATTGATATGACCTAAAGATTAAAACAATTTTTTTTAATGGAAATCTTAGAATTATTTTTAAATCTTTACAATGATTTCATTTAATGACAGTAGTCAAAAGATAGATACCCTCCTATTATGAAGCCAAAGCTCCAAATTTTAATTAAATTTTGAATTATGAAATATTTTCTAAGATGTATCTAATAACTTAGGCTGGGTTGAAAATAGTGAAAGTAAAGAAAGCTTGATATGTTTGAGTTTAATTGATAGATTTTTAAGCTGAAATCAGGACCCTAAAATTTTATACAAGCTTATACAACAAAAGGTTACAGATACTAATCGTTTTACTGATTATATTACTGACAAAACGTTAATTATACAAAGAATAAGGATTAGTTTTGTAAAGATGAATAATATACAAAATAGTTAACGTTTAAGCTACTCTTCATATTAATATATAAATGATATAAAATCAATTCTCTCTCAAATTTGAATGTACAAAATCATCGGAAAATACAATAAGTTAAATCCTTTGTAACTTTAAGAGCATATATCTTCAAATTATTGAAATTTTGATATTATTTCTATGTAATATAAATAACTTTAGCACATTGCCTTAATTTAATTGCTATCCAATTCCTTTTATAAAAGAAAGTTAATTCGTAAACATTTCCAAAACTAATCACTTTATTATAACAATTTTTAGCTTCTTCATAATTCTTCATCTGATATTTGGTTATGTTTTCTATAACTCTATTAAATCAAGAGTTGAAATAATTTGAGTGTTGCCTTGAGTAAAATATTGAGTTTTTTTTTTAGTTTCAAAAGGAAATAGACATTGTTTTCCCATTTATTTACAATCCAAGCAAAGAAATAATATTTATAAAAATAAAAACATCTCATTTTAGCAAGTTAAGTTGATTTTTTTGATGAATATTTTTGCGGATCAATAAGAGATAATGGGGAATATTTATTTATTTAGAATAATGAGGAAAAAATACCAATAAGAAAGTAAAAAGAGGAATGATTTTTTGTTATAAAATTATAAATATCAGCAATCTATCCTCTAAATAA